TATGAGTAGGCAATTAAGATAAAAATAAAAAAAACATCATATTTAAATTTTAAAAATCATTTATTAATAATCACATAACATCAATAACACAGTTTAAAACAACATCGATAGATTAATTGCTATCATATTTCATATATGATATAATAGGTTTGTGATAACTAAAATGAGAGACATAAATTTTGCTTTGTAAACTATGTACATTTCTGGAGAAAACTGCATCAATAGTCGTGCCATATCTTGTGGTTGATTCAAATGGAGAATTATTCATTGTTAAATTAAATTTATTATTTAAAAAATCAATTAATGGTTGAGATTCTTCTGAACGAAAATTGACATTGAAATCTCCAGCAAGAATTAATGGTATCTCGTTGTGATTAGTGTTTAAAAGTTTTGCACCCTCATAAGAAAAATGAAGTAACTGCTGATGAAGAAATTTAATAATATTTGATATGTTTTTATTGGGAGAAATGTAAAGGACGACTATAATCAATGTTTGATTCTGTGTGTGTAATATCACCTACTTGTGTAATTTCATTAGAAATATCCAGTAATATCGTTGGCGCAAGAAACTGCATAGGAGTCGCATTATGAAGAGTATCTGAACATGAATAATAGACATTAGACAGCTACACCACCTGCTCTTGAGTCCGATCGTTTGTATTGAGTAACGCAGTAATAGTTCTGAATATTAATTCGTTCTTCATTATTAATCCAAGTTTCCGAAAATAACAAAAACGTACAACGTTGTAGCACTTTATCTTGCAGATCAGGCAAATGAGCTCGTAAACTTTGGCAGTTAAAGGAAAACAATGAAATGACGTTCAAACTTATTATCTCACTCAATTTTTCTTCTTGTGTTATTAATCTACAAGTTGAAAGTCTTTGGAATTCAGTTTTTAAGTTCATTAATCCTGCTGGCCGTTTTCTTCCATGATAAAATTTTTTGAAATGATGAACAATCCATTAATGCTGGTAACTCGTGATAATGCAACATATAGAAGCTGCTGATTATATGTTTTATTGTATTCATATACAATTTTATCAAAAGTACCACCTTGTGATTTGTGTATTGTGAGTGCACAAGCAGACACTAAAGGAAAATGATTTCTTTTGACAAATATGATTTTATTTCTATTCATTGGAATAGATGAAGATCTCCTGAGAATCGGCACAGCTGTCCTACTAATATTAGGAGTTTGAATATGATGTGCAGCTTTCTTCTTATTTTGTTACCTATCTTACCAGGAAATTCAAACCATAAACGTAGAAGTTCATCATTATCGCCACGTTCTATGTACACTAATTTTCCTACACAACCATTAGCTAAGCCATCACTTACATCAATATTAGTTGTTATAATGTAAAATTTATTCAGAACTAAAATTATTTCATACGGCAAACCCGCGGTATCAATAACCGATTTTTGTGAAACTGCTGACGAATGTATGATTGTTGATCTGTCGCATGGCAACCTACATAAATATCCGTGGCAGTAGATATTATTTTGTCTTCAACGAGATTCAGTATAAATTTATTATATTCCATGACACATTTATTCTCTAAGAAAAGTCTTATTCCATGAGGACATAACATAAAAAACATGATTCAATTAATGCAAGTTCATATAGGGTTTAGCGCTCGACTTACGCATGACATGACGGGAGTGGATACTCGCGACATCAGCGCTTACGGCGTCGTAGTGTTCAACTACACGTTGGCATTTTCGTTGCATTTGTACGGATTTACACCCGTGTAGCCTAAAGAAATTTTTACACCCATATCGCGCCTAAAGAAGTTTTACTTCAAAATTATTTTCGGAAAACCCTTTTCATAAGGGGATTTGTAAATATTTTATGATAATTCAAGATTGTTACTATTAAAAATTATTATTAGCATATTAGGTTGATAATTATGATATTTTTCATGTATTTTGTATAATAACTACATTAAATTCTGTAAACTTAATTTAATTCGCCTTCATCGAAATAATATCTTTTTAACAAAGGATGATAACTATCTAGTTATATAAAATTCAATTTACATTTATGACTAACCGCAGATTAAATGGAAAATAGGAGTGAATATTCAAATACATGTATATACAAACTCAAATTGCATTACATTTATTGAAAATAGTTCTAATATTTCTCAAATTTAAGTACTTCATATATATTCGTTATTCAATAACTCTACAATAGTATTTTGCAACTTGGCGAATACTATCATCTTGTTCTTATACAAAACTCTATTATAATTCAGAATATCAGGTACTTATATCTATTTTGTGGAAAATATGATAATTGTCCTTTAACAGTTTTAGACCTTATGGATATGATTTTTATAGAATTTTATAAATTATGAATACTATACAATTATTTAGAACTGTTGAATTTTCTACATATATAGACTAACTCTATATCTAGCTATAAAAGAGCAAAAGGATTGCTTATTATAAAATGAAGAAAATGGACATTAAGCTTAGTATATTGTTTATTTAGAATTAGCATAATAAAAAATTATCCTATTGTCTTTCATATAATTATAAAAAAACAACGATTTAAGTTTCAAAACTTTTTGACTAACCAGGTTCGTTAGGCGTGGCGGCGCGGTTTTCTTTTTACATGCAATATAAAAATGCTTAATATTAAATTATCGACAGTAATATATGAGGTTGATAACAATTTAAAATTTATGTAACTGGTTTTAATGAGCGAAAATATGTATGTGGTGTTGGGTCTTTTTACGATTTTATTACGAAACATGCTCAGTTAGTAACTGCGGGTTATTAAAATGTTATCGGAATCGTTAATAAATTCGTACTTGATGATGGGAAATAAATAAAATAAAATTTATGTGCATTTACCTGGAGGGCTGGTAGAAATTATGAAATCGTAAAATGTTTGATACTGATAATGTTCAATTCATGATTTATACTGTTCGTCTCTGTGTTTGCTCAATATGATTTTAATGAACAGTTTTGCATAAACATGCAATATTCAATTTTTTTATACGTCTTATTGAATAACAAAATTATTTATTGCCGTTATAACAATTTAATAGATGACAATTAATCCGCCCACAATCTTCGGCGGCCACCACGCAATGATTTATGACGATTTCAATAAATTTGCATGAAGGCGGATCAAACCAATGACTTGTCATAATAAAGGCATTGAGTAAATAAATGGTACTGAGAAAATAAATTTATTTTAACGCTGTTTGTAAATGATAAATTATTGATACAACTAACAGCTGGGCCAAAAGAGATTTGTCCAAGGGACATATAATATTTTTTGTATATATATTTCAAGAGCAATCAGAACAACGTGTTCTATAAGCTTCTTCTGTTGAACATTCTTTAACATAGTATTTTGATGCAAGGCAACCCAGTGGTTAACCATTGTATTTGTATGTGGGTAGTACATTAGATAAATCTGATGTAGTGTACATTAGATAAATCTCATCTAGTGATCAGCATATTTTACATGCCCACGAAAGGTGATTTCCATTTGAAACTCTATTCGACATTTATAACCTCAAGTGGTAATTTGAAATAATGCTGCCTGATGTCGACCTCGGCGTAGGCGGGGATCGAACCCGGGACTAGTTCTTATCCGTATCGATTACGCCACCGCTGGGCTTGGGACAATAATATATCAAACTATATTCGCAAAATAAATTTAGTGAAGCTAAATCATGCCTTTTACAAAACCACTGTAATTCAATTATCGTAAATTTAATATAATTATAATTTTATAACACTAACAATGAATAAAAATGGAAAGGAAAGAAATAAAGATTGTTAGACATTGGAATGGAAAAAAATAAAGCTGACCACAAAATTAGAAAAATCCTGGATTTTTTAATTACTAAATTTTTTCATTAAACATTAAACATATTACAAACGATTATTGATTTTATAACATGTTAATATTTAAATAAATCATATTAGTATAAAATTGTATTCATTTCATTTGCGTTTACGAACTCTAAAATTTTTTATTTCTTTTTTTATCACTTTTCAATATCATTTTAAGATAATCTCCTAATTTACAAGTACGTAACTAAAATTGCTATCAAACGTTAGTAAATTTCTGTGATGCATATTTGTTTTTTCTTCAATTATTAAACTTGCTTGTTTTTATAACTAAAATTTATATAATTTTTAATTTAATATAAGTTTCTTATTTTTTAAATTATTTGTTCAATGCGATTTGTATTCCGTAGTTGGTAAAAAGTTTTGGTTTATTTAATATCTATTTAGCTGAAGGTTGAAACACATTTGGTTCGAGAAAGTGTTCAATTTTAAACAAATTTATATTTTATTTCGATTATCTGTTGAATAATTTAATAATTACAAAACCGAAATATGAATGATACTGTACTTAATACAGAAATCGAGAAACTATACATTTTTAATTATTTTTAATTTCGATTATTTGTTAAATAAATTAATAATTACAAATCGAAATATGAATGATACTGTACTTGATTCAAGTGTAAGATCAAATTTTCAATCAAATTTATCCACAATCTTTAAATTAAAATCTTTTTATTACATATTTTTGCAACATAATTATAAGTAATTAATTTAAACGAAAAGTTTCAATTTAGTTTTTGGCAGGTAGTTCTGCTGATTAAATGCATGATAATTTCATATGAGTATGCTTGCGATATGTTCAAGAGATAATCGATGGTTTTTCATTTTATTAACTCGTTTTATAAGTTCTGAGATTAAGATTCTGCTTCAGAATAACAAAAACAGGTGTTATAATAATAGATAATATTTTCATGTAAATTCCATACTCTATGTAAATATACCAAAGCAAACAATAATTGGTTTCCGTTTAAATGACCTTTTTCAAATAATTGATCTCCATTAAAATCAAATTATTTGAGGTAGTCAAATCCACTTAAAGAAAAAAAATAAAAATGAAATATAAATTTATGTTGATTATCAATTATTCAATCTTATTAAATTTAAATTATTTTTTATCCAGTGCCGGTGACACAGGTTCAAGGAGTGTTCGGGCGAAAGGTTGCTCTTCCTTGTGATGTGACACCACCAATTGAAGGCGATGTTGTCCTCATGGTGTTATGGTTCCTGGAACCAAGTCAGCAACCTCTTTATAGGTATGGTTAATTAATTTTATTCAATCGAAATGGCATGCATATAAATATTGTACCATATGCATATAAATCGTAAAAAAAGAATATTTTTTACTGCAAAAAAGCAGTTGTTGTCGATTTTAATTTAGTATTACATTTATGTATTTTGAAACTAAATTCTATAAAGGTTAAGAGTTAAGTATGATAAAACACAACTATCGATTATAATCAAGTGTATCAAATATATAATTCAATTTCAATTCTAATAGATTCGTATTGTGTTGATTCTATTTTTACCTACTTATATTTGTACCTAATTATATTTCCAAATAGTTTCTACAGACAACTATCAATTAAATTAGTATAATTATATTTATTTACCCAAGCGATATTAATTTCAAATCAATAATACTTTACAATGATATCTCTACAAAAAATTATTAATACATCCGCAATTAGGATATCGAATACTAGTATTAGTCATACACGATTAGTCACACAATCAAGTGATTATTATTTCTATTTCCACTTAATAATTATTCATCATAAATACTGTAAGGATTGTAAAAAATACTTTGGATACAGGTGTCTCTTCTTATGATGTAATGTAATAAATGTTACTAGGATTTAAATACTATGGGAATATTAAGTAATTGTAAAGCATTAATCAAAACTAACGTTGACAATTAATGAGCATATTAATGCATGTAGAAACGTGCTAATTATTATCAAGCTAAGAATATATTTATCATGTTAAGAATATATTCAATATATTTTGCAAACTTTACAACTGGTATTTTAAGATTGGAATATATCTATGTATTTTTTCATTTGAATATGAAATGATATTAAATATGCATGCAATAATGAAAGATGCGTTTTTTTTAATTCAAGGCGTGTGAGAAACAAGTTTTGATCTAATTTGCAAAAACTTTTACATATTTTATATTATATTTATAAGTAGAATAATTATGTATCATTATTATAATTGCAATTGCGTAAGAAAATATTTGTATTATATTATTTCGAGTTATTTATTATAATGTACTATTCCCTATATTTATAAGAAAAGCATTCTAAATATGCTACAATATGTTAGTACTAATAATAAGATGTAGCAATAGCAATTTTAAAAAATCTTAAAATCAAAAAATTATATAGAAAATATTAAATCAAATTGTTGAAAACATTTTTGATCTTTCTTTACAAGAAATAGTTATAATGGTATAAATACATTCATTAAAAATATATATGTTCGCAATTAACGTATTAACCTCTCGACCTTTAAAAAAAAAACTTGCCTTAGGAGTTTCATAAGCAATTCTCGATCACTTTAACACATTTAAATTATTCCAACCAGAAAGATTGATGATATATTAATAAGTTTCTAACAGATCGTGTTACATGTAATAAGATTAAGAATTTTTGCTCTTTATTCATCGGATGTCAGTTTTTAACGACTTGCGTAAACTAATGAACAATCATAATTATAAATTTTGGATAAGATGTTTCACGGCCGAATATTCATAATTACTAGAGACGATATAATTCATAGGCTTACGCAATTTAATGTACTTCAACGACTTGTTTTAATTATACTGTGAAATGTTAAATAAGCGAATAAAAAGTATGTTTTTGATAAATGATGATGAAGCAGGCATTAAGATAAAACTTGGCTTTTTGCATGATTTTTATATTCATGTTTTAATATATTAGGTTGTCAAATATCTCCCTTCCGCTTTTTTGCTCTTGGTTTATAATACAAAAGGGCGGAAGGGAGATATTTGACAACCTTATATTTTTAATTGTAAATACTAGTTGTACTATAAAATATCATATTTTTGAATTTATTGAAATAAGTTTTATGAATGTGATCTTATTTTTAACTTCCCGTAGGGCAAGTAGTCGCAAAAAAATCTAAAATGAAAATTTTTATATACGAGGTGTGTTCAAAAAGTACCCGGAATTACTAATAATTAAATTTCGCGGGTCTGGAGTGTCTGATTGTCAAAATTGTGTTGGTATACATGCCCCTAAAGTATGATGAAATTTTCAGCTATATTCACTGTTTACTTTGTCTGTGGTAGTCGCTAAGGTTCGACGTGTTTTTCTGAGCTGGGCGATTTTTACAATGGAAGAATTGAAAAGTCAAAGAATTTGTATTAAATTTTGCGTAAAAAATGAAATAAAGTGTTGCAAAGTGCAAAAATTCACCAGATATGGCTCCGTGTGACTTTTTCCTATTCCCAAAGTTGAAGAGACCCATGAAAGGACGGCGGTTTTCCTCGATTGAAGAAAATCGCTGAGAGTGCTCAAGGACATATCAAAAAGTGAATATCAAGGGTGCTTCGAAAATTGAAAAAAACGCTGGCATAAGTGTATTATATCTGGGGGGGACTACTTTGAAGGGGACCACATTAATGTAGACGAATAAATAAATATTTTTTTGAAAAAACGAAAATTCCGGGTACTTTTTGAACAGACCTCGTATCTTTACGTTTTAAAACCTTCTGAACATTTTGGCATAAATAAATTAAAGCAAGATAAATTAAAATCAAATTAAATTCAACATTACTACATTTGTCTTCTCTATTCCTTTATCCCAGCCTGGATGCTCGCCGTGTCCGCCTGGACGCAGGCCGACGTTGGGCTTCTCCTGACCTGATGGAAGGCAGGGCGTTCTTTCGCACCGCGTCAAAGCCGGCTGCACTGCTCCTGGACGGGGCAAGAGTCCGGGACGAGGCGATGTACCGGTGTCGGGTAGATTTTCGCGATTCGCCTACCAGGCATTCGCTGGTCAATCTCACAGTCGTCGGTAAGTGCAATTTAATAAAAGTTATGTAAAATTACTGTAAAAGGATTGAAGATTTTTGTTTAATTGTGTTGAAAATGTTAGCTACTTTGTAGAACCTGAAATTAATTGGATATAATAATTGAGCAGTTGATATCCGAATATTACAAGATATATGTAACTGTTTTTTTCAAATCATTTTTTGCACAGTGAGAAAATCAGTAATTATAATCATCATTTCAGTAATTTCCATATATTACATGCAAAAATATTTTGAAATTTTCAATTATTTCTTTTTTTTTTCATTTTCTTATAAATTACAATCTGTCTAAATAGAAAGACATTGAGTAATTAGTTCGACAAATAACATATTAAATTTTAAAGTGGTTCACCTTTTATTAGTGTACTAAATTATATTTTAATTTTGGTATAATAAAGAAAAAAAAAAGAAACTCAAATATACATACAATTATAAACAAAGTACATTACACAGACTACATATACACATACATGTTTTAAATAATATGGTAGAACAACTTATTACTGATTAATATGTTAGATCTATTAATTGTATTCTTTTTAATCTTATATTATGTGTTGTGAAAACTTGCAATCAGTTCGTTTGGATGGTTCAATTATCTCTAATGTCTGTGTAATAATAATGTTTGGATTTTGTAACATTTTAATTATTTATTTTAAGGATTTTATAGGAATTATTCCATTGAGCAAGTCAGTTTTTTGCCAAGAGAGCAAAGAAAATTATAGCCCTTTATTTTTAAACATAATACTCGTGCTTCATGTTGGATTTTTTTACTTAATTTTTCATTGTTTACCATATCCAAAGTATATCGTAAACTTATCTATTTTTATATCATTTATATATATATATATATATATATATATAACTAGCTGACCCGGCAAACGTTGTTTTGCTAAATAAGGTATATTCTAAACCATTTCTAGAGAATCAAAAATATTAATACTTTAAGTGCATAAGGATGTGTTGTTTGAATGCTATATACAATGAGGTATTATAAAAACAACAAACCCGATTAGTTTGTCTATATTTTGTCAATACAATCAAACTGCAAGTTTTATACACTTTTTATAGAATACATCGTATAATCCAATCCGAGTCTTTTTTGGTTTTTCGGCTTATTAATTACGTTTCAAGTTTTTCAGATTCTTTTTAGATTCTAGATTTTGTGTATAATTGTTAATAATACTACTGAGCTTATACAAAATTTTCAAATTTTTGCGAGGAGAGATAAAAAATGAATTAAGTATTTCTTTTTTGACCTGCTTTTTGAAAAGTTTCAAGTTACATTCGTTGAATTAAAGTAAATTTAATAAAAAGTATATATATAGAGCAGGGCGAGACACAAAGGTCCAATTTGACTTTGAGCAAATATAAACTATATTGTGAAAACCATAACAATTATATCACAACAAATAGCACATATCAAACGAACACATATCTGACTACGTTCAGTAAACTGACTTCTACTTCATCATTGTAGAAATGTGCTTTTTTGATGGCTTTCAAAAATTTGTTATCTAGACCTTTTTATCCTATATGCGGGTTAACTTGTAACGGGCAGGTGGCAAAAGGTTTAAAGCCTTATTATAATTTTAAACTAATGCTAAAACTACCAACTGAAGAAAATACTTTTATTATGGATTTTCAAAGATTACCGTTTATCTACCCCATTTCAAAAATTATCGTTTTCAAATCAAGGTTGTAGCTGGCTATACATCTTTTTTCCTCTACTTTCAAATATTGTTGTTAAACAATGCTTAACTTTACTGGTATTTGGCACATCGGTGGTGGACCTTTTTAATCCCGGACCTTCATATATTACTATCTATTGTGCGATAAATTCTGGGAAATTATAACTGAAAAAATATTATTCGACAAAATGTCCATTTGATCGATACCAAATTTGGGTTCTGAATTTAAATAACATAAATAAAAAATAATATAACCTAGAAAATGTTTTATAAATACCAATGAGTATATAATTATACAAATGAGATCTTTCAGAGTACCGTGTTTGAGAAAAATATGCAAAAAAGTGCATTTTCACGAATTTTCACGATTGGCACGAATTTTTCAAGACTTAGACTGGCCAAATCTATTCAGCCGTTTTCGAGTTTTATTCGGACATTTGAAAGACAGCTCCATTTTTATATATAAGATATATAGTTATATTTATATTACGGATCAGGATTAAATTTAGTAATTAAAGAAAATAAAATGTCTTAATTGAATTAATTATAGGAAAATAGAACTCTAAAACAATATTAAGCCTAACATTAGTATTATGTAATACAATCTTGAAGAAACAATGTTATAATATTGAGATAGTTTGATTAAGGCTTGTAGATCTTGAGATTCTTCAGATGATAAAAAAAATCTTTAAATTACTTTAAATATCCGTTACGCAATTTTCATTTGAGTCCGATATCTGGAATATAATAATTAAGGGCAGTATAATATGAAAATAATTGTAGTAATAAAATACTTAGGGTAGAAAAATGTTAAAATAATTTGGAACAAAAATTAGAAAAAGTATGGAAAATGGAAGAAATAATTGTAACGGTTGGAAAAAAAGTATCAGATATTATCAGTAGGCATTTCATTATCAAAATATTGTTTGATATCGAAATTGGCAAATTTAGAAGTATCGTAGAAACTAATTGATATTGTAAGGGCCGTCGAATTGATTGTTGTTTTAAAGTTAAATTCTTAACATATTTTAAAATTATTGTCCAAAGATTAGTAGACGTACAAACATACAAACTGTATAAAGATTTCAGTCAAAACTGATATTATAGTCTTATGATAGTAAAACAAATTATTCATTTGGAGCTTATTCTTGCGATTTCAATGATTTGAGTGTGGAGAATAAATCTAATTAATAATTGTTTTGTGAAGTATATTTAGACATATAAAAAAATAATGCCAAAGAAATAGCCACAAAAAAGTAGAGAATTTGAATATGAAGTACAAGGTCTATATGGCTATCATGGAACTTATACATTTGCACTGCAAGAATATGGCTCCAAATTAATCATTTGTTTTACTACCATAAGACTATAGTCTCTAGAACTTGTACTTTATAGTCAAATTTTCTATTTTTTTGTGACTATTTCTTCAGCATTAGTTTTTTATATGTCTAAATATATACTTCACAAAAACAACTATTAATTAGATTTATTCTCCACACTCAATTCATTGAAATCGTGCGTTAAACAAAAAAATACCACCTACAATCAAGTCGATGCGTGACATTGCATAGATAATAAAATATTTTTTCATTTATTTTATTTAAGTACTATTTTTTACCAATCTTTATTTTTTTCAAATACTGCATTTCATCGGCGGATATTGAAGATAATGCGTTACTTCACGCTTAAGCACACCTCATTGTAATGTTCATGATGTTTTTATATTCAATTCGATCTATAATCAATTCCTTCTGCCGAACGCAATTACTTGTAAAACAATTCGGTGAGGCGGATAAACGACCAGTCATCCTGCGTTACAGAATTGAAATTCCTTTAATAGAAATATCCACAGTTACAATTTCCATTGTCTTTATTCTACGATGGAAATTGGTTGATTGAGATGTATTAAATTCATTGCTGTATATAAGTGACATATAATTCTTTAAATTTTTAAATGGAATAAATGTTGACGTTGCGATGTGTTAATGGAGACTTAACGTAACCGGTTTGATAGAAAATGCTCTAAAATAGAAATAATTAACATGTTTATCTATGTTACGACATGTAATGGATGTCTTCTAATTTATTGATACGTGTATGTTTCTTATTTTTTTCATCCAAATTTTATAATTATTCTATATATAGTAGATCTATATGTATAGTCCCATATTGATGATCAATATTGAAACGATTCATCTCAAACATAGGCAAAGAATATAGCAATGCGCATAAATTTTTAATGGGTATTTTTAATTATATTCAATGTATTGTACTATTTGTATGAAATTCATTGCTATTTTCTATATATTTTGTTATTTTGATATATTCTTTGCAGTACCCCCAGGAAGACCTCGTATTTATGATGGCCGAAATAATAATCGCAGTAGCGTCGTGGCTCCTTATGTTGAAGGCAGTGACGTAGTTCTTATTTGCGAAGTCGATGGCGGTAAGTTATTTCAAATTACATAATAATTTATTATACAGAATACTGGAGTTTTAAAGTACATCATTCAATACTAGTGAGAATTTTCTATATCTATAAAAAAATAATGTCCCACATGAAAAATAATTTCTCACATTTTTTAAAATGATGCTTTTAGTATTGCTTGATAAGATTGCTGTAGACAATCATAAATTCATTTTATCGCTCAAATATCAAAATTTACCTAATGGTCGCATATGATTAATGAATAAAATAAATGTTTATTTTGATAAGTTTTTACTCAACAAATTATGCTTATGATAACAAATATTTTTATGAACAAAACAACTGTTACATTATAGATTCCCACAGTCAATTATCATATAACAAATCTTTTAGATACACAAACCATCATTAGGTCATATCTATTTGTTCTTTCGCTCCCACGTTGACTGACCATTATAATTTACATGGCTTTCTGGAACTTTGCCATATATGACTTGTTTTTATCAATGGACATTTATCTTGATCAAAAATTACAAAATTAATATAAAACCACTTATCTCAATAAGCACCAAGGGGATAACTAATAATTATATCAATATCCTTGTAAGTTCTTAATTATTAATTACTCTCTCTAAACCGAATTCTGCTCAGCCAGGTCGTCCGACGCCCCGCTTGTCTTGGTTTATGGAATCCACACTTCTGGACGAATCCTGGTTACCCAGACCAGCGGCCGTTGGTGGAGGATCAATCAACCGTCTGCTGCTGCCCGGTGTGGGCAGACAGCAGCAGCACGCCAGGCTGGTGTGCCAAGCGGCCAATACGGATCTTGTGCAGGCTGCTACGACGGCAATCGTATTGGATATACAGTGTAAATATAATCAATATTAATTTATTTTTGTTCAATTAATATATCAATCATTGAACGTATGTTAGTAAAAGAAATGTCTTATAAAATGTAAAATTACTATTAAATCGAATTGAAGCGATTTATTTCATTTGAATGTCATAGTCGAATACTATCATGAAATGAATTGCATAGAGATTTGTTATTTTTTGAAAATACTTTTGCGATATACGAGGTCTGTTCAAAAAGTTTTCGTAATTTTCGTTTTTTCAAAAAAATATTTATTTATTCGTCTACATTAATGTGGTCCCCTTCAAAGTAGTCCTCCCCAGATATAATACACTTATGCCAGCGTTTTTTTCCAATTTTCGAAGCACCCTTGATATTCACTTTTTGATATGTCCTTGAGCACTCTCGGCGATTTTCTTCAATCGAGGAAAACCGCCGTCCTTTCATGGGTCTCTTCAACTTTGGGAATAGGAAAAAGTCACACGGAGCCATATCTGGTGAATTTTGCACTTTGCAACACTTTATTTCATTTTTACGCAAAATTTAATACAAATTCTTTGACTTTTTCAATTCTTCCATTGTAAAAATCGCCGAGCTCAGAAAAACACGTCGAACCTTAGCGACTACCACAGACAAAGTAAACAGTGAATATAGCTGAAAATTTCATCATACTTTAGGGGCATGTATACCAACACAATAAAAAAAAATTTGACAATCAGACACTCCAGACCCGCGAAATTTAATTATTAGTAATTCCGGGTACTTTTTGAACAGACCATGTACATATATAAAATGGCAAAATTAATTTTTGTAGATTAATAACGCTGTAATCAATAGGATCAGGTTTATTACAGTTTATTAATACAATTTCTGGCATTTACGCTTTGTACTTTTTTCCTTTTTTATTATATCTGCATAGACAAAATATTTTATATTTGATTTTCTGAGTGAATCTAGTGAAAATTACGATGTAAAAATATGTAAAATATTTAATTAAATATCATATGTAAATGCATTACTTAAATTGTTGATTTTACTTATAATTACCAAACATTCAAGTATGAAAATATTTAAAATAATATTTTTTGTTTCATTTTAATTTTATCAATATGCAATCAGAAATAATTCTATTACGATATGGTTTGGTTTAAAAAAAAATTAATTATAGAAATTGAAACACAATGAAAATTATCATTAGACAGTATTCAACTCAATAAATTTTATTTCTAATTCGAATAATTTTTTTAAATTTAGTACGCAGTAGATTTCTTAACGTAATTTAATTTAAAAATGTAATAACAATATATTTTCACTGAAAATTTTGAGAATTCTATTATATTTTCAGTACGTCCGATTTCTGTGCACATTTTAAATAAAGAAACAAGATTGTCTGCTGGACGTAACTGGAACATAGAATGCGAAGCCACTGGTTCGAATCCACCAGCAATTATCTCATGGTGGAAATCAGGAAAGGAATTAATTGGTGAACAGGTAAAAGAAAAACTAAATTTTTAACATTTATTTTCTCTACTACATGATATTTGCAATCAACTTTTTCTAAATTTGCTTTCAGAATGAATACGACACATTAGGAATTCTGCACTTCGTTCCAACCATGGAAGACGATGGAAAATATTTAACATGTCGTGCAAATAATCCTGCTGTACCAGATAGTACACTGGAAGATAAATGGCTTCTAAATGTGTTATGTAAGTATTTGTAAAATTGATATTTAATATTTCTTCCCCATATTTTCTTTTATTGATCGATATTAATTTTACTCACGATCACGATCATCCTCTGTTCTTAAATAAAATTTTGTGGTAAACAGCAATATTATATATTTTATGGTCTACATTTGATATAAAAATATCTTAAAACAATACATTATTAATTTTGCTTTTTATCTTCGATTTTTTTTGCTTTGGTTGAAAACATAACACTTTATTTTATGTGATTTGAATAATCATTTCCAATACTCTATAATGATGCATTTAAGATTAATCAATTAGACCAGTCGTGACTTCTGGTCAACATATTTTTACTAGTAGTGATTTATAACACATAACATATTTTTATCTGCATTTTATTATTCGATTCTTATCCAATTCCTCTCATTTATTTTAATGTCATCAATATCGGAGATGCTAAAAAATTTAACGTAAGTGATAAATCTAACATCTGCGTATATAAAATAAAATGTTAGTGGAATTCCATGGCCACTAGCAGTAAAAATGTATAAAAGAAAATTTTATGGTATTGGAATTAGTCATTTTACAATATGATAATTTGCATAGAACGGTTGTAAAAGAGCTATCAATATATAACATATAGTTTTAAAACTGTGAATTATTTTTAGAATGAAGTTCTGCTAAAATTTGAAAACAAATCGATATTAGAAGATTTTATATTAATAAAATATATTTATAAGATTTTTCGTACTGGATCTTAGTGTAGAATGTCGGGTTTTCCACATTGATATTATTGGATAATATACTTCAACACTTTTATGTCTATTATATATAGAATATATTATTAATATTACAAAATATAATCTGGAGGATTGTGTGTTCTGAACTTTAGTATGCATTTTTCTATATTACTATGATTGGATAATTATTTACCTGGCTCCTGTGGAAAATAGGATAGTTGCATATTAATGCATCATAAAAATTTAAAAATGATTTAAAAATTTTGTTTGAACTATTATTAACAGCACAGTTTTTGAGACCATTTTTTCGGTTGCTTCTTTTATTTTGCACATTTTGGATACAATTATCACCTTTATCATGGAATATCTTCTCCTCTGTCAATTTGTCCACTAATTCCATCTGGAATTTGACATCGATCCTCCTGTAGACGACTGCCCATTAAGATTTGAGTCAAGGTTTGTCAAAAATATTTTACAATATTAATTATAAATTCGGTGTGAAACAACATGTCGGGTCATCTGCAAAACGAAATACGGACGCGCAACTCTTTTATTGCTAATTTATTCACGGCATTTCACAAAATAAATAGAGAAGGAAATTAAAATATGTAAGCGAATAATTGAGGTAAAATTATGTACATTGTGAAATGGCTTTATTTGATAATGTAATTAAAAAGTAGGCTTAAGCGTGGGCTAGCGCTATTTTTAATTAACAAAGTGCATTTTATAAATAAACTAGCAAACCCGACGAAATCCGTTTCGCCACCAGATGGTTTCGTGAGAAAGATGAATAATTTTTTTGTTTGTTTTATATTTGAAAAGGAAAAATTTGATCAGGAAGGAAGACCCGACTTATTTTTATATATATAGAAGAAAATCTATTTGCAATTATTTAAAACAATTGTTGATTATTTTTATTACTCGAATTTTTAATTACGGTGCGTGAAGTTCCAGCAATTTGCATTAGGGCACGATGTCATGCACCGCTAATTTTCTTAGCTATAAACCTTGCGGAGCCCGAGACCTTTCCAAAGAATGCAAAATTGTCGAAATCGGTTCGTGCGTTCTGAAGTTATTTTGTCAGGAAGGAAAACCCGACTTATTTTTATATATATAGAAGATTATTACTAATTAAATTTTCTATACGCTCGGCAACGTGCCGATATAATCCATTACAAGAGCCTGTTTTCGCGTTCTGGTTAAAAACGCGAGTTAGGCCAAACTAGTTCTGCGTTAGATCCCAATCTCGACCGACTCGATTTTAAGCAGTATTTTATTAAATTTTTCCTTGGTCTTACTGATCTTAAATATAAATCCAAGTGAAAATTGCCATTTGTCTGCATACAAAACAAGCGTATGTCATACATATAGCGATTATAAGTATGGTTGACCCCTGGGTTGCCCTCTCGAGAAAAATACTAGATTAAAATGTACTACACCAAACATAACTCATTTGGTACTAAACATATTTTTTATGGTTCTTGCTATGACAGATACATTAATAATTCTCCTAATTAAAAATTTGATCAAGATCGATCCAAGTGATAATATTCCAATAGAAAACAACTTACTGCTTTTACGAATGCCGATATTAGTATAAAAACACATTACGTGATATGTTAACTAATTAATTAAACATACTCTACGCATTTAATCTTCACGATAAACTTGTAATAAATGTTCAGTCTATGTATTAATGACATAATTAACTATTTATTTCATATTTCATTCTAGGTAGATTGTATCAAATGAATTTAACCTATTTAGTAGTAAAACTAGAAGTGATTAATACTAATATTTTTTTTATTATTTTAACGTTATTAAAAATATGAATATCAATTTATAATTATCCACTAAATTAGATACTAACATTTGCAATTTTGTACAAAATATTTAAAAAATCTATAAACGTAATAATGTCCCTATGTATTATATTATATGTTGGACGTGAAATTTTACAAAGTCATAAAATTGGAGAATTCTGAACTTATTATTAGAATAAATTTAAAATAATATTTAAAACGCGGTTATGTAGATTTTTATGTCCTACATGACTATTATACCCTGCATTTTTTATAATTGATTCAATTCTTGAATATATTGAAATAAATAAATTTGATTCTGATCTGATAAAATGATAGTATTTTCGCAAAGACTCAATCAAGAATTCGTATTACGAGAGTTGCAATTAATTTGTATAAAAACGATTCAATATGTAAATTTATAGCATACGTGTTTTGACCAAAGAAATATGTTCTATCATGTTGTTGTTAATCAGGTTAATTGGAGATTAAATTTGTTAACACCAATAACGAAAAAGTAGTTAATATTTTCTTGCTAAATTTGCAAAAGCTGTAAATGATTAAATATTTATCTCTGCATATTATGCACCAATCATAAAAGTTTTACTCACTTATCGTGTAGTAAATTTTTAAGATTGTAGATAAAACAACCATTAAAAATAATATGATATACATTTTTTGCAAAATTTTATAAAATAATTTGCAGTAAACTTATTTAGATGCTACGTAAACTATTTATTTATCGTTTTTTTAATTTATTTAGATGTGTGCGATACTATCAGTAACCACTATATCTTTTAAAAAATAATTGCGTATATGAAGTCGACTTTTATCATTCTGGATAATCATTTTTCATCCAATATATTACCATATATGAAGCTATTATCTAAATATCTAAGCAAATTTGAACATAATTATACCGTTTATCACAATATCATTTATAAATATAGAATAAATTTGAATAATATATGCAAAATTTTATATGACATACAAATGTCTTTTGTAATCTATGGATTCATCTAAAAATAATTTATTAACAAATTATTCAGATTATACGTACAACGAGACTAAAAAACTTTTGAGTCACTATTTAATATTTGAACTTATAACATTTTCAACATTTTAAGCATTTAATTGTACTTATTGTTTATTTTGTGCTTATGTTAATTAGTTATTTTTTCACATATAGGTATACCACATTTGTAAATATTATGATGCGTTTTGTTTATTGTATGAAACTACTGTTTGTTTATTTCTGAACCATAATTAATAAAGTTCACATCTTCCGGCAATTGTTTGTTAATGAAATACCTCTCAATATATACTAAACAATAAAGCAACCTTAACATTCGTAAATAAAAAAAATAACCATCAGTAATGTAAGTTAAGTTTAGTTAAACATTGTAAGCATATAAAATTGATTGAAACATTTATATAATAATATTTTATATATTATAATAATAATATTTTATAATCTAAGAATAAAAAAACTTGGATTTTATATTACCTTAGATGCTCCGGTGGTTACATTAAAAATTTTGGGAGCGCCTATCTCTGGAGAATATGCAGAAGGACAAGAAGCAGTTCTACAATGTGGTGTCAAAGCTAATCCCAGCGTTTGGAAAATAACTTGGCTTCACAATGTAAGAAAATAAGTTCCATTTAACTTAAAACTCATTGATATACTAATTATCTATTTCATATAGAGTAAAGAAATCCAATCCAATGACAAAAGTATAGTTATGGAAGGTAATGACCTGATATTGAGCAATATTAGTAGTGCATCGTCGGGGCAATACAGATGCACTGCTCACAATTCTGAGGGACAAACACAAAGCAAGTCAGTTGCTATAATTGTGCGATGTAAGCATTAAACTAGCTGTAAGTGGAATTCTGTCTTAAGGCAATTAAGGCATCGTGCCTTAAGGCAAATTGCTGGAACTTCCCGTACCAAATTTTTTTTTTTAAAAACGATTAAGATTTTTGAAAAAAATTTACTTTGAAAAAATAAGATTTTTGAGAAACTATATATTGGACAAAAAATTACTTTTTTTTGAAAAAAAAAAAATTTTTTTTATTTTTTTTTTTTTTAAAAAAAAATGTTTTATTTTATTTTGACATATTTTGGAAGATCTAAACTTTTTTTCAGAGCAATCGTACTGCTTTAACTGCATAAAGACGAAATATCAAAGCCCGTAAGCGCCGCGTCGCCGTCTAACGCGTAAACATTGGTACAGAACCCATAGAAATGTAAAAAAAATTTATACTTATTGTTAAAATCTCTATAAAATATTTGATAATTTGATGTGCATATGTCTAATGATCATTTTTGACCGCCAAATGGCATTTTTTTTTACTTTTTTCATCAGATCTCCGAAACCGTTAGACCTGCCTTCATGAAAATTTGATCAATTCTTTATCTTGTCAATACAAGTAAAATGTTTTTTGAAATATTCAAATCGGACGCTCCGTTCTCTTAAAAACTGAGTTACCGTTTTCGGCACTTTTTGCCCCGTATCTTTGGAACGGCTAGACCTGCTTTCGCCAAAAACTAATCAGCACGTCTCCTTATTAATACGAATCGAATGTTTTTTGAATTATTCAAATCGGTTGATCCGTGTTCCCGAAATCGTCGACGAAAATTTGTATCCGCACATACATACACACACGCACATACATACATACATACATACATACATACATACATACATACATACACACACACACACACACACACACACATACATCCATTTTTCTAAGGTATGCCAAAATGTTCAGAAACCTCTGAAACGTAAAGATATATAAACATTTTCATTTTCGATTTTTTTGCGATTACTATAACTTGCCCTACGGGAAGTTAATAACATTTTTACTGTTTATAATAATAATTATATTCTAATTAATAATCGTTTAAACTACTTGAAATTTTATTATATTTTTGTTTGCTTTTAGATTCTCCTATTTGCAAATCCACCTCTGTCCATAAAATAGCAGCGCCTGAAAATATTCCCGTTTCTTTAAAATGTTCCGTCGAAGCCCATCCAAAGTCGAATATTACTTTTCGTTGGACTTTTGCAGATATGGGTGAAGTTCCTGGCCGATTTATAAATTCTTCTGGTAAACACTGAATAACGCCTTATTATATAAACCATATTAAATACAGAAATCTATTGCGTAACATGCATATATCTTGTTTCTTGTTACATAGATAAATTCTGAACATATTACTATTCGACTCTACTATCAGTATTTTAACTGATGTTCTATTAAATAAATTTAGGATCTACTAGTATATTGACATATAAACCCGTCGCAGATTTAGGATACGGACAATTTGCTTGCAAGGCTCATAATGAGGCAGGAGAAACAAAAAGGCCTTGTGTGTATCAAGTTATACCTCCAGGTTAGGAATATTACTAACTAATTATATTCATTCATTAACAACTAATTCATATGAGATGTGATATAATAAATAAACTTTTTATATGCTAAAGGGTATGGGCGCTTTGCCATACAGAATCGGCCACTTTCACATATTTTCAATGATATTTCGGCCATAAGGTGAGATACAAAGTTGAAAATTGGTATATCGGCTTTATTCAAAAAGACCTTTAAAATGGCGTATTTATTATTTTAATACCAGGATGGGGCCAATTCTCTATGGCAATGCGCCCATACCCTTTATAGTATTCATCAAATACTTCTGAACAGAGAAATAATCCACTTAATACATTATTTAGATTAAAAATATGGCATAGTTTGTGAACCAAACCTATTACTATATAGATTATAAAGAAGAGGCATTTATATATATTTGATATTGATTATTTATTCTTGAGCAATATTTTAATGATTCATTTCTAAGAGTAACAAAATAATTTAGTAACAATGTAGGAATTTTAATATAATTTAAATTGAATATTTTATTATAATCTAAGGTCCACCTGGTCCGCCCTTAAACTGTACACTTGAAGCCGATGGCGAAGTTGTACAATGCAAAGCTGGTTTCGATGGCGGTTTAGAGCAGCGATTTCTAGCTCAGGTTGTTCTGGCCTTAGATTCATTTACGACTTTAGTGAATTCTTCTGCTAATCTAGAACCTGTATTTCGAATACCAGGACTTATGACTAACTCATTTGCTGCTGACAATGAAGCCATGGAGGTAAAAAATTTATCGTCAATTCCACAATTTGAATTTTAATATTTAAATTAGGTTTTTTCTTGTATTAATGAAATTGTCTAATTTATTGTGTACTATGTAAATTTTAGGTACAAGTAATTGTTTTAGCAGAAAACGATCTTGGAAGAAGTAGCCCTGTTACTCTAAAAAATTTAATATACAGTGAAAAGCCCATTAGAAAAGGTAATAAGTAAATCAATTTTCATGTCATTCATGCTATTAGATATTTATTTTACACATTTACTGCCACCATTTCGAAGTTATTGTTCACTTTTTCACAATACCATTAAAATAAAATATTATTTCTTATGATTTTATTTTATATTAATATATATTTTAATGATTTTTAAGTTTTATATTCAAGTCCTTTATGTTTTAGGTGGATTTGCAAGCTTTACATCAATTCCAATAGATCCTTTATTATTCGCATTATTAATTACTGGATCTGTAGTAATAATTTTGTGCTGCGGAATTTGCTATTTGCTTCGACGTCGTTGCTGTCGTGTTTCGCCTGATAAACCGACTGCTAATGGAAAAAGACAAAAATCAAGAATACAGGTAATAACCAATATCATTCAAAACTTCAAGACTCCGGATACCATTAATAAGTACTTATATCTTGCATGCAAAGATTATGAAGCTAATTAATATTAATTTGCTAATTAAATATTTCATCAATATTTAGGATAATTCTGATTCATCCGTCTATGATGAAGGCATAGATGACCCTGATCCTGATCTTATACCAAATAAAGAAGGTTAATATCAAATTTTTTTTTATTATAAAATGTAAACTTATCTTTGTATTTATTGATTTTTTTCTGTCTAGATTACAACAATTCAGTATTATTATCTAACTCATCGAGTCATATTTCGATTGTAAAAAAAGCTCCCATCAGATATAGCTGTGGAAATTTATCTAATTATGGAAAAATTCGATGCATGACAGACAATCAGGTAAACCGATAGAAACTTCTGTATATAACTATTAGAAAGATTTAAAAATTATTCATAATTTTTCATAAATTTACTTCGCGTCGATAAGCTGCGAAATTAATACTAACACCAACACAATTTAAGTTAAAACTTTAATAGGATATCTTAAATCATACCAAATAATAAAATTATGAAACAATCAAATCGATTCTGATTTTTAGACTGGGAGCCTAGGGCGAGTCATTAAAGAAGCGATTCCATATTTCCCAGAAAATCAACGTGTTAGTACGTTACCTAGAAGGCAAATCGTTACATCCTCCCCTGCCATAAGGGAAAGTTGTATATAATTTATTGAAATAATTGTAGTTTTAAATCTTGATCTTAGTATTTTTATATTGTTTATCGTAATTCTTATAGAATAAATACTCTTTAACCAGATATTATCAGGATGATAATTTATAAACAGCATTCATATTCTATCCATTTGTTTTTATATGACAGTGCACAGATAATAATAGTATAAAAAAGAACGAAAGAAAGTATAAAAGGAACAATTATAATTTATCAATAAATAATTGTATTCTGGTCACCTAGGTAAGTACAATATCAACACTTTTATAATACTTTTATTAACAATAATATTAATAAATTATCTGTGCTTTTCCCACATCTGCCAATATTCACTTGACTGCATTTGTGAGAGGCGAGAAATGGTTCTATCAAATGCAAAGACTTCTTCATCACCTGTAAATATACTGGCCCCAGCATTTTCCTGCAAAAATCTCAAGTTAGTTTATCAAAAAAAATATGGTAAAAAAATAAAAGATTTACAGATTCTTTGGAAATTCCAAGATCATCCATTAAATGACGATGTTCATCGGATGTTTGCTCAGGTGATGCTTTTTTACTAAATAACTCATTATGTGGCACGTCTGCTGATATCACTACCTATTAAAGGTATTTAATAAAATTCATTTAAGACTGAAATAAATTATTTATGTTAAGATCTACATATAACTCACTCGAACTCTATTATCATATAGTGTGTCAATAAGATTTATAAATCTCCGAGCTTGAGATTTTAATTCTAAATTGAGTTGGGGTACATCACGTATTATGATGGTGTGAAATGTTTGGGATAATCTTAAGTAGTCACTTGCACCCAGGGGCTGTTGCATAAAAATTCCGTTAGGCTATAGGTATTTCAAATCAAATTTATTATATTTGTCACATACTCTGTCACATAGTTCTTGAAAGTTACTATCCAACACGTGACCACATGTTCTATTGAAAGTTACATTTCTACCTTGATGATTGATTATCCTTGGTCTTATTATATCATTTTCCATTGAACAAAGCAATTTAAAAATTTTGTCAATAGGATCAGATTCTTCCATGTTTCCTTTTCTAAAATGAATAAATTCATTGTAAATTTATCATTGAAAAAACTATATAAATTGATACTACCGCTTACATAAAATAACATTCAGATTTACCCCCTAAACCTTTTGTTCTGTAATCCACTCCAGAATCCAATGATATAACATTACAGTAATTTTTCAAAATGGGTATAAATGGCAAGAAATTTCCTCTTTGTAAGCCATTCTTATATAAATCATCTGGTGGCCGATTACTGGTTGCAACCATCACAATGCCATTTTGGAAAAGTTTTGTGAACAAAGTCTTCAGAATCATAGCATCTGCTATATCTGTAACCTGTAAATGTTATAATATCATAAAATCAACATTATAAATAACTAATAATAGTAGACTTACTTGAAATTCATCAAAACAAATCAGCCACGACTGATCACTAATTGTTTTAGCAACTGGAGCTATTGCATCAAAAGGTTGTGGTTTTCTGCTACTTGAATCTCTTGATATTTGTGATTTCAATTCGTGTATATGTTTATGCACATCTAACATAAATGAATGAAAGTGTACCCTACGTTTCTTCTCTGTCTGTAAACAAATTCATCTTTTAGAAAAATAGATACCTATAGAAAATATTGTGATATTCATGATTGGTTATAGGACTGCAAAAATATAAATGGTCATTATTAAAGGTTGGGATGCTTATCAATTTTTATAAATTATTTTGATAAATTCATACATAATTTGTGAAATTAAGGGTTATCGAGAAGAAAGATATGTATGTGTTTCACTGTTATGAACAAACTTACCTTACAACATTCAAAAAATATGTCCATCAGCAATGTTTTCCCACCGCCTACGGCACCGTGAATATATAAACCCTTTGGAGATTGCAATGTTTTCTTTTGAAATAATCTTGAAAATACATTGGCCTTTGGTTCATGATACGTTTCGATTTCGTGGTGCAAGCTTTGTAAAGCTTGAGCCACTTTAAATTGATATTCATCATGAGCTAATTCATTACTATCGACTTTCCCTTGTAGAACATCTAGAGGGGTTCTATTTGTGACATTATTTGAAAAATCAATTTTTGAATCGATCGCTGTGCTGAGATACCTAGATAGTTGTTTACTAGTAATTTGTGCGGGTGTTGTAAACCTGATTATGAAATCTTTAACAATATGTTGTGCTATCGTAGACATTATAAATATTAGTTATATAACTATATAAAATGAATTATTTGGTGTGCATACGCCTGTTAATGGATAATATGTTATAAATCATTTTAATGAATAAATTATTTGTTATCACATGTTTGATTTAATATTAACTAATTACGTAAATTATTCACGTAACGTCAACTGCCAAACATCTGTCAAGAACTGGAAGAAAGTCTCAGACTTTTTGACAGTTGCATGTGACGTCTCCGCGCATGTGTAGACAAGTTTTATTTTGACGTTTGTGGTTTTTGGAGGTTAGGTTTTAGAAATAAAACTAAAAACTTTTAATCGCACAGCAAGGCCATAAATTATTGTCATTGCCATTACTATATTGTCTAGGATTTGCGACCACCAACTGATTTAATAATATACCTGTAACATACCATTCTAATTTATCCCAGAATTGTCCCCTTAATTCCTTTAATCTCTATGTTCAATCAATTATACTGGTCGATGTAATTTTTAATTACAGAAGGAATAGAGCTTTCTGCAATATGTCTATATTGTTATTGTTAGCATATTTATCGTGTCAAACACAGTGATTCAGCCATATAGTTTGACTTAAATCGAAATTTTAAGCCGGATAGTGTTTTCCTTTACCGTTTTTTTTTGACAGCATTAGCATCCGTTATTTTGAATCCGCCGCATATAAAAGGGGGCGCTGATATCAACGCTGCTCATTAAGGTGCGTCCACACCTAATGCCGCGTCTCCACTGTTACGAATCCGTGCGGCGAATGGTGCGTCACGAACAAATTTGCGCAGCGGAGTGATACTGTGCGAACGCACGAATTTCCTTCAAATTTGTCCACTGCGCATGTCCATAGCGCACTTTTTTCTTTTTTTTTGTTTGAAAATGGGAGGGGGGTTTATTTTTAGAATCACGTACCCTGCCGAACATGGTCGAAGCGACACGAAAATTTCAATAGCTTGCGTTCGCGGCGCTCGCTCCCGCCGCGAGCAACCCGACGCATCGGGCTGCCGAGAATACCCGAACCGACACTAATGGATTAGCGTCAAAGCGCGGATCAAAATTATAAATAAGTAAGCAGTCATTAAAATTTATGTACTAATTATAATTTTATCTAACTATTAGTATAGGAAATACATTGGTAATTAAGTTATAGATATGTTGAAATATATGTATATCCAACTAAAATATATTTTGGTAGACTTTATTTATCATATTTCAGATTTAATTTTATATCATCATGATATTATCATGTATATATATTATATATATATATATATATATATATATATATATATATATATACACTTACTACTTATATGACGTATCATATATTTATAACTAAAAATAAATTAAATGTTTTAAAAAAAAAATGGTAATATTGTATTATTTGCAATTACGCTAAATATCATTTAAAATCTTATTAATATGCAGACTGAATTTTTGCTCTAAGTCTTTTCTGACAAGTATTTATATTTAGAACTAAAATAATAATTTTTATTCAAAACTGATAATTGTTGGTCAGCCTGCATTCTGTATCCGTATCCGTTATTTCTTTGAATTTGTACGTAAACGTTGATCTGTGCTACGGTATAAGTTCAGTTCAACAGTGAAGGCATTGAGCTGTTTGACTTACCACAATTGTTAAAATGGACATGACTAGAGAAGATATAATTTTTTTAATTGAAATGTACCAAGAAAAAAACATATTGTGGAATCCTAAAAACCAGCATTATCATAACAAAAAGCTCAAAGACGATGCATGGGAGGAAATAGCAACTATGTTCCAAAAAAGTACGAGCGAAATAAAACAAAAGATGGCGAGTCTTTTGGGGTCCTATAGAAGGGAAAAGAAAAAAGTTAAAGATTCGCTCGGAACCGGCAAAGGCTAGTTTGTACATGAATAAATGACAATATTTCATGATTCTATAACAATATACACTAGTTGTTAGTGGCATTTTCCTAAAGGCAAATTACATAAACTTTTTGGAACTTACACTTCATCAATTTAATCTATAGCAATTGAGATTCACTAAAAAAAACAATTAAGACGATTTGCAATGAATATTCATAACATATGTATTGGCATAAATTATATTAATTTCATTTCATCTAATTAATACGCTACAATTTATTTTAATATAGTACAATTGAACGTAAACTGTAACCAATACCTACCTTCAAAAAACGGAATGTTTGTATAATTCACATAGATCATAAATAATATATTGCAAATTATACAACTTAAGTGAAATATACATTTGAGTTAATAAATTGTATAATTTTAGGTTTAGATGAAGTGTACCATTCAGATTGGTTTGGATACCATTATTTTTCCTTTCTGCATGAACGAGATACTCCG